TAACAAAGGGTTTGCTGGTTGGGAGCATGCACGGTCCACTTTGGGAAAGAAACGGAGCTTCAAACAAGCTCCTAATGAACTGAGGCAGCTCCGGTGAATACAGCAGGGCGGTGCAGATCACAACTGAGCCAGCAAAAGAGCCAGAAAGTTAGATATAAATGGAAAGCATAGCACAGGGACGGAGCCAGTGATCAGAGCTAAGGGTTCGCCCGAACCCTTGCGACCATTCAGCAGCCACCGCTGTTGGAGTACCCACAATTTCTGGAGGCAAATCATTCCACCTATTAATTGGAATCTAACTGTCAGAAAATTTCTCCTTAGTTCTAGGTTGCTTCTTTCCTTGATCAGTTTCCATCTGTTGCTTCTTGTCCTGCCTTAATGGGCTTTGGAAAATAGGTTGACCTCCTCTTCTTTGTAGCAGCCCCTTAGATATTGGAACACAGCTGTCATAAAATATATAACTAGGTTAAAAATATAAGTGTCAAATGCGCAGGTGTGTTAAAGATATAAAGGATATCAAATTACCGGTATTTATTATTTAATAGTATTTATTTTCCATATATATTTTAGGCTGCAAATGACATAATTCCAATGCAGTGGAATGAAAGCAATTAAAACAAACCACCAGGCATAAACAGGGGGCAAAAGCAAAGCAAATCATCAGCAGATTCTTCCTAGGTGTCTATAGTCTTTTTTCTTTTTTGACAAGGTATTGCTTGATATATCCTGGCACTATGCCAGATAGGGCCACAAATTAATGGCCAGTACTTTGAGGACAGTGTCAAGATTCAAAAACTTCTTGAAAAGATGGGATATGGGGCAAATCCCAGCAAGATGAATTTCCACAGAGACATACATGTGCATACACACATTTCAGTAGGAAAAATCAAAGGCATGAATATAGGCTAAAGGTAAGGTGACCAGATTTTAACATTGGTAAAGAGGGACACCATTGTGAGCGTGGCTTATTTTGTGGGCGTGGCTTGGAGGTCATGTGACTGGTAGGGGTGGCTAGCTGGTCATGTGACCGGGTGGCCATGGCTATGTGTATAGGGACTACTCAGAGGGCTGAAAAAAGTCATTTCTGACAGGTCCTCGCACTTTTGACTGGTCCTCACACTTATGACCATCCTCACATTTATGCCTGTGCAGCATTCTTAACAACCATGTCACTCATTTCACAACTGCTTCTCTTCACCATGATGACAAGATAGGGCAAGTTTGATAGTCGTAAGTTTGAGGACTGGTCAAAAGTGTGAGGACCAGTCAAAAATAACTTTTTCAGCCCTCTGAGTAGTCCATATACATTAAAGGATACAGCAATAGAGAGGGATGAAGGAAGGGAAATTAGAGTAGGAGTGAGGGTAAGAGAGGGAGGAAGAGAGGAGGAGAAGGAGAAAGAAAGAAGGAAAGAAAAGAGAGAGATGGTCGGTTTGAGGAGAAAGATTGCTGTACAATAAAAAAGATGAAAGGGAAGAAAGCCAACCCCAAGCAAATATAAAGATATTAAGATAAAGAATGAATTAACTTTAAAGAATAAAAGAGAACAAATATAAATAAATAGCAATAATTAGAAACACACATACCAACATACAATGTATTTTCTTTGAACAGAATATTTGGCTGGTTCACAAATTTAAACAGTGTTTAGTCATTTCAATTAAATTTACAATTTCTATATTTCCTTTTTGCCATGTTTATTCCTCATCTATTTTTTTAAAAAACCAATATTACCCTTCATCCTCATCTCTAATCTTAATCAAATTCAATTTTTCCCTTCTATATTATATCCCTTCCCATTGTCATCTATTTTTATATCCATCCTCACATTGGTTAATTATGTAATTATGTAATACAGTTGTTTAATACAAATTCAACATTTTAATATAAATCAATTAGTTATATATCTATCTTTTTTGTATATTAATCAATATGAACATGAATATTCCAATTATTTCCATGCAATCCAATTTCTTACAAATCAATTATATTTACCAATAATAATAAACCAAATAATTTCCCCCATATATTCCTCCAAACCACAACTTAACCATTTCTGCTTTCAACACAATATACAATTATTAATAGTATCTCAATTATTACAATTCCCTATTTAAATAGAGCTTTTTTTCTTTTGTGTTTTAAAATCTTGAACTCTCCTCTTTTGCCCTAAATTTCCCATTGTTTGCACCTACCTTTTTTGGTGAGGAGAAAGAAAAAGAAAAAGAAATCTCTCTCTGCCTCATTTTGTCACATTGCAGCTTTACTTTCGCTTTCGCTTTTTCAGTATAGCTAGGGGGGAAAAAATCTGCTCCAGGAACTCTTTGCAGCCAATTAACCTATGCAGAAGCTGTAAGGGGCTGTTTTTTCTATTTTTGCAGGCATGGGTGTACTCATTTGTTTTCTTTTAACACTGATCAGCTGTAGGTCGGCCCTTTGAAGCCCCGCAGCAAGAGTTTAAACAGTTTTTTTTCCTCTAGCCATCAGCTGGGACTCAGGAGACAGCCAGGACTCAGGAGGCAGAATGAAAAATCGGGACTTTTTTAAAATGGTGCAGGACGTGGGACAAATTGCTAAAAATCGGGACTGTCCCGCCAAAAGCGGGACGTCTGGTCACCTTAGCTAAAGGGGAACACACTGAACAATAGACACCAGGATTGGAATCTGAAATTTTTGGCAGATCATATGGTGAACATGAGCCAATAGGGTGAGGCATCTGCCAAAAGGGTCCTAGTTTTTTTAATTAGAAAAATAAAGTACCAAGGTTAAGAAAAGTGCACATTATTTTCTATTCTGCATAAGTCAGAGTAAGACTATTGTATCTAGTTCAGTGGTGGGTTCCTCCCGGTTCGGCCAAGCATGTAGCGGTGACAATATGATGTCACCGAACCAGTTCTGCTCCCCCGCCCACCCTCTGGGTTATTCTTACCTTTTATTTGGCCCCCAATCTATTGCTGCCTCCTGAGTCCCAGCTGATGGCTAGAGGGAAAAATACTGTTTAAACTCTTGTCGCAGGGCTTCAAAGGGCCGCCCTACAGCTGATCAGTGTTAAAAGAAAACAAATGAGTAGACAAAAATAAATAGGTAGACCCAGTGGTGGGAATTCTACTTCGGTAGAACCGGTAGTTAAGTAGTTAAGCAGTTCGGAGAACTGGTTGTTAAAAGAAATCTCCTTTTGTTTTTTTCCACTTTACAGGGTTAATTCTGTAAGGATTAATTACAACATTTGGTGTTGTTTCCTAGCCTAATCTTTATTACAGAAACTGTCTCTCCGGCAGTATGCCTAGACTTACTGTCACTTCCGGTTCCGGAGGCTATTTTTTTGCTTGACTTTCTTAAAGGGGAAGGGTTGTTTTAAGCTTTTTACACCGCTGTTGGGAGGAAATACTCCCCTGTTGGAGTTCTTCCAGCCAGGGTGCAATCATCAGCACTTTGAAGAAATAATTGAATCCTTTTGTGCATATGGACTACTCAGAGGGCTGAAAAAGTTATTTTTGACTGGTCCTCGCACTTTTGACCAGTCTTCAAACTTACGACTGTCCGCACATTTTACGTTTTTCGCCCTATCTTGTCACCATGGTGAAGAGAAGCAGTTGTGAAATGAGTGACATGGTTGTTAAGAATGCTACAATGGGCATAAATGATGACCAGTCATAAGTGCGAAGACCGGTCAAAAGTGCGAGGACCTGTCAGAAATCACTTTTTTCAGCCCTCTGGGTAGTCCTTTTGTGCATATGGACTACTCGGAGGGCTGAAAAAGTTATTTTTGACTGGTCCTCACACTTTTGACCAGTCCTCAAACTTACGACTGTCCTCACATTTTACTTTTTTTGCCCTATCTTATCACCATGGTGAAGAGAAGCAGTTGTGAAATGAGTGACATGGTTGTTAAGAATACTGCACGGGCATAAATGTGAGGATGGTCATAAGTGTGAGGACCAGTCAAAAGTGCAAGGACCTGTCAGAAATGACTTTTTTCAGCCCTCTGAGTAGTCCCTATACACATAGCCATGGCCACCCAGTCACATGACCAGCTAGCCACGCCCATCCAGTCACATGACCTCCAAGCCACGCCCACAAAATAAGCCACGCCCACAGAACCGATAGTAAAAAAAATTGAACCTACCCCTGATCTAGTTCCATGTTTTAGGAATCGCATCGCTAAACTGCAGCATGTTCAATGGAAAGTAATCAAAATGACAAGAGACCCAAAAGGAAAGTACATGAGAAATGGTTGGATGTATTGGTATGTTTAACCAGAAGAAAAGATTACAAGGAATTCTGATTATTATTGTATATCAGACTGGACTTCATGTAAATGATAGGGCAGAATTGTTCAGTTGTTCCAAACCCTGGAAACAAAACAAGGGAATTTAAATATTTCCCATATTTAAATCTGCTGATAATACAAAATGGTCCAAGGTATCTAATAACCTAGAAGAGGGAAGTAACACTAAAAGCTATGTTATAGGTCAGAGACATGGGATGAAAATAACTGAATAAAATCTAAGAGAAACATGCAAAGTTCTTCATTTAGGAAATGGAAATAAAAGTAGGCAGGTAAAAAGTCTGAGTATGTGTGGACACCTGGTTTGGTAATAAGATGTGTGAAAAGAATAAGAGAGTGCAGTTGATCACAAGCTGAACATGAATTCGCTATGGCCCATGGCTGCTAAAATGGCCATTCACAACCAGATCCTGTTCAAACTACATTTCACACAATCTCCACCAGGATGGCCAAATTTATTAATGGATTATGGGAATTGTTTGGGAAAGACCCTTCTAAAGCTCCTTTTCTCTGCAGTTTGGTTGCATAGATGCAGGATTTTTCTTCTGAGTCAGAATTACTGGATATATTTTTTTTTATTAAAGAAGCATTAAAATGTTCTTGGTTATACTTTTAGTTTTCAATCAGAAGCATTGTATATATTGTATTTTTTACTTAATTGTTTTTATATTATCTTTAATTAAAAAATAATACGTTGCTATCTTCCAAATAGGAACCTTTAATATGGAGCAGAATTCTGAACAAAAGAAGGATGCCTCTTTTTCTGGTTGCCTGAATTTTCCAAGTTCTCCAGCAAGGTTGCAGCCTAGAAGACACTCAGCCATTTGGACAAACAAAGAACTAGTCAGCTCTTCAGATCAACCCATAACCAACTTAAATGTTATTCAAACAGAATATGCTAAGACTTTGCATTTAAAGAATATTGCTGTGCCTGACAATGATGAAAGGATAAGGTAAGCTTTCATTCTAGATTGAACACAATATCTTCTATGTTTTTTACATTACTCTTTTATCTTTTCTCTCAACATTAAAAAAAAACCGCTTAAGGAGGTAGAAACAGAACAGTTTCGCAGTTGTGGATATATCAGTTTATTTTTGAGAAGTAACATCCAAAATGCTTCATAACTCTTCAAAATTTAACACCCAAACATCCCTTTTTTCAATGGGAAACATTGCACAGTGTGTATTGTTTTGTAATATTAATTAAAAGTATAATGCCTTAACATATTGTTGGTCAAATAGGTAAAATCAAATTGATGTAATCAAAGTAGGATGCCAGTAAACCTGAAACAGTAATTAGCTTTTTCTCAAGTGATTATAGCTTGAAAATATATGCACTGATATTTATACTTTTTCAATTATTCATATTTTATGTTAATAAAGAGGTAGTCAATCTTTTGGTGAGGTTGAAGAGCATCTTTGAAATGGCAGCCTTGTGTTGCCTTGCTTCCCACAAAATGGCTGCCAAGATGAGTTTGGATTAATCACAAACCTCCCATTAACCAGTGGATAAATTGGTGTAGTTGATCTGTTTCAGCAACCTGTAAAAACTTTTTACCAAAAGGTAAACCTAAACACATCATTGAATTGACCTTGACAGCATCCATGGATTTTTCTTGGTACCATTAAGGAAATGTAATCTAGTCTTTGATCCTGTTACTGGGCACCTCTATCAACCATGCTTAGGTGCTTTGCCTGCTGAGGCAACTTACTTTAGTGGTTTCTAACTTTCCTTTATATGAGTTTGCATGCTTGGGTGGACCTGTTACTGAATATGGTCCAAAAACTTTCCTACCTTTTCCTGTGGGCGTGGCTAGGTGGGGGGGTGTCATGTGACTGCGTGGGTGTGAGTGACATCAAGTTGGCCATACCCACTCAGTCACATGCCCCCCCACCTAGCCACGCCCACCGAACCAGTAGCAAAAGTTTTTGAAAACTACCACTGGGCATGCCCCTGATGTTACTATCTTGAATCAGAGTCAAGGGTTATATCTAACACCATCTTCCAGAGTACATTTAGCGGAAGCTCAAAGGAAGAAGAGTAAAATGAAATACTGTTCCAAGAAAAGTCCATTCAGATAACATTAGGTGGTATCCCAGTTCTTTCATTTATAAGCAAGCATGCTCAGTTCCTTGTAAGTTGTTACAACAGTTAGCAACCACATTGTAACTTATTATATATATGTTGTTTGTGAATGGCTTGGGAAAATCCACAATAAGCGCATTTGTCTACTTCCTGGTTCCATAGCATACCTACCAGGCCTTTAGTGTAAACAGTTCCCTGGTTCTTATTTTCATATCCTATATTGCATATTCTAACTTTTCCTTTAGGCCTTTCAGGTTCATCCTTTTTTTATTTCTATTATGTCCTCTCAATAGCAGTAGCAAATAATATGGGTTTTTTTTTAAAAAAAAAACTTTGTTACAATTGAAGTACAATTGAAGTAGTTTGTGTTTGTTTTACTGTTTTAAACGTAACACAAATCTTAAGATGCAGTGAGAGCCATGTGAAGTTGTGGCAATATCTGACATACATTGCTTCGAAGTCCAGGACAGATGTATGTCATTTCATGACAGATGTCAAGAAATGAACCTGGACTCACTCTACATTATAAATCATGTGTTCTGTACTCAGTAATGACTCTACCCTGAATTTGGCCCATTTGTGAGGGATTGGAAGATCCTTTTGAATTTATCATTTTCCCTTTCCTTTTTTTATACAGTACTTCTACTGAAAAACAAGAAGGAAAAGTCAACTCTGTGACTGCTAACCTAGATAAAGAAAAGAATATTGCATTCCTTTTAAATGAATTGGATGTTCTTAGGGCAAACAATAAGAAGGTACAACCTATTAATCTAGTCACAGATATCCATATTCTTTATTCTAATTGACAATGTTCAAGATTTGTTGATGTTGAAGAATGATTATTTATGATATAATTCATGATTTGTTGATTTTAGGATATTACTTTTGTTTCCTTGATGTGTTAATTTTCTGTAAAGGAATCCGCTCTAGTGCAGGGTGACCTTGATCTTTTTTCCAAGTGTTTCCGACTTAAAGAAATTTGAGAAGATAGAAATTGTTCAAGATGTGCTGTGATATAATTAAACATTTAAAATGATTTTAGTTGTAGATCAAGACAGATAAGGAATTACACACATATTAATCTGTTTAATCTATATTGATGGGTAGGAAATCCATTGTACATTACTGAATTTTACATTTCAACTGCATTGCAGTCGGTCTGTACAAACTCTTGGAAGTGAATTCATTACTTAAACCATCCTACAAATCAGTGGTTCTTAACCTGTGTTCCATGTACCTCTGGAGGACCCATGATGGCATCACAGGGAGTCTGCGAAGGCTTGAAGAAATGTTATGATTTAAATCTTGAATTAAGGGTTAGGAATCTGTGGCCATAGTCTGTGGCCACAAAAGGTATTTAAAGGAGGTCCACAGTGAAGAAAAGAATAAGAACCACTGCTGTAAATGAAAATTGATATACTAATATGAATCTATTTTCTTCATAACATTAAGATTTGCAATGTATTACTTTTCAAATACATTAGCAGAACTTATCAAAATTTCTTTATTAAACTCTAATTATAAAATGCAATTGAATCTCCTCAAATAGGAGAAATCCTGAATGTATCCTGAGAATCGGAGCAAAAATATTGGAGAAATTGGGTGAAAAATTATGGTTGTGGCTTCAATACTGAAAAATCAGATTGAATTATGTTATTACACAAATTCATTATTTATTATGAAATCATTTAATCAGTTTTTCTTATAGTTCTTTCGTATTTTAGACCAGACTTCTCTATCTAATGGTCTTCAATGACCATGGAACTATAAACCTCAGGATTCAAAACCAACACAGTCCTTAGGGATACTGAACATGAATGATGGGAGTTGGATCCCAACCCCTCTGGTGGAGTAGAAAACCACTGAAATCCATGCTAAATTAAGTTTGTTAATTTTAAGTGATTCAGCAATATTATTGTGCAAAAAGGACATGAGACATAGACCTTTGGCTGTGCTTCTCAAAAGTCTAAATTTCTGAAGCAACTTATGATATGACACCAACATTGTAGGTGGAAAGGATGGGTGAAAAAACCCAGTTACCTACGTGGTTCTTGTCAGCTTCCCTTCAGTCCCAGAAATGTTTTTTTCTGAACTTACTACTCCACAATAGAGAATTCATTCAGTTATAAAATGAGCATTACCCCAATTTCATAAATCCTACTCAGTTGTTTATGGCTGCAGTCTTAGACACCATCCAATTCAACTTGGAAGAACTAGTTTTTCAGCAGACATGCCTAGGAAGCATGGCATCATCATATGTGTCTGGGTCCCAGTATATAGTACTACCACAAAATACTCTGTCAAAATGAGCGATGCTGAGCAAAAAAATTGTAATTATTGATTTTCTTGGAAAACAGAAATTTCTTTTTTTTTCTTGTTTCCCATAAGAAAGAAGTTTTAACTTGTTTTCTCATATGTATATGTATATATTGTAAATTAAGATGTACCCAGGTACTTTTACATTTTACATTTGTATTTACATTTTACAATATATTTCTTCAATCCAGCTTCAGGATCAGCTGTCTGAAAAAGACAAGGAATTGAAGAGACTAAAGCTGGACTTAGAGCTACAAGAGAGTGTAGCAGAAGCCAAGATTGCAGAAAAGGCTGCAGGTACTGTAGGTGAGCATTGAACAGATGGCAATATGGCTCTTGCATTTCACTTGGTTGCTATATGACATGGGCCCCATTTGATATATTTACTAAAGGAGGGCTGGCTTAGCTTTTTTTTTTTTTTAAATACGAGGCTGTTTAAAGTTGCTTAGAAAATAGGTGGCTTTAACATCCTGGTACCGGTATTAGTGGGAGCTTTACCTGTATTCATACTGATTTTGGCATTAAATGTATTGTTAACACCATGTCAATCCAATCACAAAAACATTATTTGTTTTGTTGGAAGGTCCTGTACAAACAAGGGAAATAATGATTACCACGGTCACTACCTTTCCAGCCAGCAGTTCAAATACTCATTTATTGTTTTAGCTCATTCAGAGTGATGTTGCCCCCACACATCTTTGTTGGAGATACTCTTATAATCCCCCAATGGGAGACCTGACCCTCATTTTGGTAGATGGAGAAATATGATTTTTGATTAATGAAAACCCAGCTGTTTAAGGATGGTGGGAAAGTGGAGGTAGATAGAAAAAAGATTATTCAGTTGAAAAAATCAACTGGATTTTCACAGTGTGTTTCAATGACACCAACGAAGATAGGTTAGTCACTGTACACCTTGGGGAAAAAATATTTAGCATATATATATATATATATATATTTATATATATTTGTTTTGTTTTGTTTGTTTTTAAAAGCTTTCATCCTAAAACACCTGAATAATAGTTATGTCTGGATTATCAATCAATTAAACAGTGCATGAACTGTTTGAATTAAACGCCACAAATAACTTTGGATTTGTAGGGTACTTTGACAGAATTTTGCCTCTGTGTCTATAATGGTGAAATGTTTTATTTTGTATTCTTCTTTGTCAGTGAATCCATGGAAGCAAACTGTGGATCCACATGTTTTGATTCAACAGGCTGAGTTCATGCACAGAATTGAAATTCTGTACAGATTATCCTGGTTATTAGGACTTATTAGTGCAAGGTTTCAAAGAGGCAGTACTCATAAAAGTACTTTGGAGATCATGAAAATAGATCTGTAATGTCAATTTGCAGACTTTAAAGCAACTGTATAGTGTCTGGGAAAGATGTGGCTGCTTTAAGGTATCCCGCATTCATAGCAACATATAAACATTAATCAAAGGTGCTAGTTCAGAAAAAGAAAAACATGTTTTGGAAATCAAATCTAGACCACTGCTCAACCCAATGGGAATTGCTTTTCAATATGTGTTTTGTTTCTTTGCTGAAAGTTTATATTCATTTTCTGTCACAAAAAAAGTCTCAAAAGTGATTTTAATATAAGTGTCTGAGTCCAAAGAATTTTATCTAATTTTTCCTTTTAAAAAAATCTATCAAATGTTATTGAGGTTTTCTCTTATTTTCTGTTAATTATTGTTCTTTACACATGGTGAAAATATTAGATGTTTGTAATTCTCTGTGTTGTATTTGCATTGCACTGTTATTTTCAGAGATCACGTTTCAGCTAGATGATACATGCACAGAAATTAGGTTACCCTGCATTTAAGACTCTGACAACATCAGCAGATAAGGTTATAATAAAATGCACGTAGACTTTGGGAAAAATGTCAAAGAATAATAAAGTTTCTATGCTGGAAAGACATTGGTAATATAAAATTGACAGGAGAAAGAAAGCAAACTATTGTAGAAGCTGTTTGAAATATGAAGAAATGAAATTAGATTTTTACCTAACGTCACTGATGAAGCAGGTTGCATCTGAAATGGCTTGCCTGCAGTAGAAAGTTAACATTTCCAGCTTGTACTCAGTTCTGCAGAGCATATGCTTATATCTTTTGTTAGAGTGATGCTGATGTTTGAGAAGAGGTTAGGAAGAGGAAAGAGTGTGAGGGAGCAGATGGAGAAATAAAAACAGCAAAGCAATAGGAAAACATTCCCCTAATATGGATGCCCATCTGTAGTTATCATACAGAGTAAATAGGCATAGATCCGAAGCTCAGAGGAAATACAGTGAACAGGATGAGATACTTGGACACAGGACTGGTGTTCACACATTATCCAAGCAGCCAGTAATCCAGCAGCTTTAAGAAGGAAGGAATTTATTTGTGCATTATTTCTGCAAGGAAACAATGACAAGAATGACTTAAAGGCAGCATAAGTGAAGAACAGTGTCTTATTTAAAAAAACTGTCTCAAAATTATTATATTGGTATACTTATCATGCTTTTATGTGAAGTTAGACTTTTGGGTTGGGCATCTTTGTCTGCTTTCTACCTTTTTAGAATTGCTCTGACTTGATTGACTCTAGCCAATTCTCTTAACAGTCTCTGTTTTCTGGCCACTAGAGGGTGCTGTTCCTTCTTAGTGTTGGATTTTCAGAGGTAACCACTTCATACTCTTTCCCAGCTTAACTCTGATTGAAGAAAACGCAATATATCTAAGGTGGGAAGTGAATTTACTATTACTTGGGATGGAAGAAGAGGATTCAGACATGGGAAAAACAAGTAGAAAAAAAATCTGAAAGGCTAATGAAGAAAAAAAATCTTTTAGATATTTCTGCAGTAGTGGGGCAGGAACAGCATTGACACTGTATAGTTATTTATTAAAACAGGTAATTGAAAACAGATGAATGGGTGAAGCAGTCTTCATCATTACTAGTATAAGTATTTTGGAATCGGCTAAAAGAAATTCAAAGTGTCCATTGCTATACTTTGATTACTGTCTTTTTATTTTTTGTCAAGCACTAGCTTTTCTTCCCTTTCCTTACAGACTTTAAATGACTTGAGTTAAAGGATAAAGCTTCATTGCCTCTACACAAACCTCTTGTACACGATATCATATCTTTCCTTAATTTAAACTCAATTTGGGGAAGAACTATGGGTAAAAATGCAGGTTTGCTATTGCAGTGTGACGGTTTGCAGACATCACCAAAGATTTATCTATTAATTTGGTCGCACTATCAATGTCTTCCATTTTGTTATGGTCCCTTTGTATTTCTAAGGCAGTCTCAGGAATGGTCAGTAATAATAATGGTTGCAGCCAAACATCACCTGCAGACACACAGCTAGAAAGGTTACTCCAACTCAAAGAGAGCCTAGCATGCTCAGAATCATCCCAGAAACAAAAGTGAGCTAGATAATTCTTCTCTGAAGAACAGTATTTGGAGATAATGTTGCCTCCCTTCTTTTGCATCGTTTCTCATCTTGAGCTCTCTCGTCTGGCCTTTGTTTTTATGCTGGTACTGGCCCCATGAAACCTGACTGCTATTCTGTCCTAGTCTGCCTAGGAGCTGTTTTTTTCTCGATGCCATTGTTCACAGTCCTCCCTGTTTCTCTAGCCTCTTGTCTCTCAGCAGCTCCATCACTCTACTCCGGCTTGCTTTCCATTAGCTCCATCTCTATTGTTCCTCGCTCACCTGCTTCTGACATCTCTGCTCTTTGCTAACAGTGGGGGTAACATGCAGGCTTTCATTCTTTCAGCAATATGCACGCTGTAGACGTTTACACTGGCCAGCCAGTAAGACTTTCTGCGTGTATTTTTTTTAAAGGCTCAAACATTTGACACCAATTCCACCCAAGCTCTGGATCTAGAAAGAACAGAGTTATGAAGGCCTAATGACACAGAGATTATCCCATTTTCTTTTATGGACTTTGGGCAGCTCTTACTGGATGTAACATAGGGAAAATAGACACAAACAGTGTATATCTGAAAAGCCCCATGGGCACCGAATGATCAAGATTTGCCGAGAATTATTTTTTGCAGGCCTCCTCAATAAGATAACTGTACACGGCTTCAGTAAATCTTATAAACCACCTTAAAACTCTTTTTAACTTGTTCCACACTTGCAATAACAGGGCAGGGTGTTCCAGATAAACACTGCCAGTCAGTTAGTTAATATTTGTTGTTTCATTAAAGTCCTTGGCGCTTGGCCATGCTGTACTGAGGAAAGATATCGGCTGATTTAAGGATCTGACAATTGCTACTGTTTGAAAAAGAAATTACTATTTGGAGAATAATAACAACAATCTTTCAAAACTGTGCCCCACCACCACCACCACTGTATATGGGAATATTTTCTCATCTCGCTAAATCCCTTCCGTTGTTATCATCATCATTATAAGCATATGCAATACAATATCAATCTATAATCTTAAATGATAAGAAATAGAAGAGACTGTGAACCAAGTATAAATTTGCCTTATATTCTTGAAGAGCAGAGAATTTGCTACATAGACCTTAGAACTGAAACAAAGCTATCTCAAATTCAAAATATAGAAAAATAGATTCTAAGCTAAATTTGTGTTTATTAATAATACCACTTCTTTACGAGATGAAATTCTGAGAAACTTTTAAAACTGTACAAAAGCTGCAATATGGAAGTGGTTTATTATTTTAAAACTATAAAGTGGTTATATTTCATTTATCTAAATAAACGCATACCTATGCATTTGCCTAAGTATCTTACATTGTTATTTAGAAGACTGGGCCATTGTGGCCTCACTATCTGGGGCCTTAGATACTTCTTGTAAGGTAGTATTGGTCTAAATACAGAGAGAATTTTCAGATTTATTTTGGCAGAGTTGCAGATTCACATCTGCTCTTTGATATGCTTCCTTACTGTCCCATTCAAAATTTCTAACATCACTCTGCCGCTCTTCCTTTCAGTCCTTCAACTAAAGCATAAAACTATGAAACAGGACATATAGTTTGATTTTTAAAATATTTCTGAATCAAATTGAAACAATTTTATTGCAGTAAATAATTAGTTTGTGCTTGGTCCAGTCAGAAACAAGAAATAAATAGTGCTAAAGTTCTTTTAGCACAGATGTCTCCACTGAAGAGAAAATTATATTTTTAGCTCACTTTGGTATTTCTTTTTAGATGCCATTTATTTTTCCTTCTTGCATGTCATCCATTAAAGATTAGCTGTGGAAGGGTGAAGCATGGAGAGATTATGAATGACAGAACAACTGCCGCAGAATAATAATCAGTTTTTGATATTTAATGCTGTTTGACTTTTGCAGACACATTTCTTATTAACCTTTGCTACAAAGAGAAATCCAGGTTCCCGATACCTCATGGAGAAGATGAATTTAAGATCCTCTTCCAATTAAACTGAAATAAGGCCAATATTGGGCTTTAGCCAAAAGATCACAATAGTTCCCAACCCTGGTGTTTGTAAATCTAAATATCTATGACATTCTATTTTTGAAGTATGTAATATATAGTCTTTTCCCACATAATTTTATCCTAAATTCATTTTTCTACATGCAGAATACACCCAGCCCTATTTTTGTTGTAGGATTGTTGTATTATGCAAATACATTTCCTAAATCTTTCATTATATGTGTCTTGACAAATTCCAAGCCCTTTAATAAACTATAGGTCCTGTTTCATTTCACTAAAATCAATTGGAGTTTAACTAATGGACTTTAGGGAGAAGAGAATTGTTCTCTAAAGTTGCAAAACTTACTGCACCAGTATATAGAACAGAAATGCACTTTTCAAAGACTAGAAAAGTCTTTCCTTCTGAAAATTTATTTTGAAAATAAGGTTATCCTGAAAATGTGAATGTCTTTGTGGAATAACAGACATTCACACAGATTGAATAGTGCATTTTGATTGTATGAAGTGGTTGCTAATATAGCCCTATAGTTTTTCCTCCCACTCCCACCTCCACAAACTGATCCTTGTCTCTCCATAGTCATTGAATGTGCTATTGGTTATTGCTATTGTTTTGTTTTTAACTGTAGGAATAATTGAGACTAGTATTTTAGTTATAAATCTTGTGTGTCAACCTTTCCTATCAGTAAAAAAGAAAAAAAAAATCCAGGTGTCCACTGAGAAACAGTCCTTTTAAGAGATGTTTGTTTATATACAATTCAGGTAGAATATATTGAGTTTAGTTGTGGATATTTTTATGGATGTGTACATAGATGACTTTTGTCTTTAACTCAACTGTTGATAAGTGGTAGCACATAGGCTTTCAAGTCATGTCTACTAAAATGTGTATTTTAAAAGACACAGTAAGTTTAGTATTGCAGGGCAACTGGTTTTAGTAAAGAACTCAGAAATGTAAATACAGTGGAGCGAAATGTATACATTCTTATTTGCATGCCTTCTCTTTCATTTTCCCTTTGAGAATCTAAGTAAACAGCAAAACACCAGAGTGCAAAGTCTTTTCACTTACTTTTACAGGTATTGCTAAACAGTTTGGGTATAATCAATGCATTTATAGCACCAGAAATGTAGGCTCAATTGAATGCCTCAAACCAAAAATATACAAGGCAATAAAGGTGTTGGTATTTCTGTCAGTGTTAATGCACATTGCTTTATCTGCTGAGTCACTTTGAAATGTAAATGATTTTCAGTCTGTAATATCTGGTTTTGTCCTCTTAAAGCTGTTCTAATTCTGTTTCATTCATTTTTTCTGTAACACTTCTATATTTTAGTGATTTAATTAATGTCAATACAGTGTTTTATCAAATAGTTATAGTGTCTGGAGACTACTGACGTTTGGTTATTTCATAAGATCCCAATTTGGAACCTAGATGATTTTCCAGGTTTGTCAGCATTTTGCTAATGATGACATATTCAAGTTGATAATTCTATATATAAGCAAATAAATACTGCCGTATAGTCTAAAAACACTTCCATAGAGGCACCATGCACTCTTTTGAGTTGGAGACATTTGCTTAAACCTGTAGAAAGATCAAAATTTGTTCTGAGCAGAACCCATTTACCCATCAAAATTTTTTTAAAAAATTATAGGAACCTGTGATTCATATAATTTAATTTCAGATAAGCTTCATATTGCATTCTTCCCTATTTATTTGAAACGGAAACAAAATTGGAAATGTTATTTGTTCAGTTTCAGTTCGTTTACATATTAACTCTCTATAGGTTGCCCTTGAAAATATTTTTCAGATTAGGAATGTTTTATCTTTACTAGGGATAGCCTGAAAATAAAAAGTAGCTCAGTAGTCCTTCATATTGACTCTTGTGGAGGAAAGATATCTGTGTGAAGCCATTAAAAGTCTTGTGATCAGTCCTTAACCAGCTCTGAGGAAAATCCTGGGTCACACAGAGTTCAACAGTCCCTAATCTTGAATACTAACTCCAAAATCACAAAACTCTTATGACAATCTGCATGCTATGGCAGTACGTTTATTTTTCACTTACCGAAAATACCTGTAAGAAACTACGGTATTGCAGCTAAAATCTCATGAAATATGCAAAATAAGGGATAATTATAGGAAGAATAGAAAATTTTTGAATATATAAAAACTCCTTGAAGGGAGATATGGTTATGCTGTCTTTTTATTCCAGAAAAATGCAAAATAGTGCTTCAGGATATTGACAAAGTATCTACAACAAAATATTTTTTTAAGAATTGCATGTTACAGGACAACTCAGAATGTAGAACAATATCTTAATTATTCTGGTTTACTTAGAAATCTTATCTGTTGTCTATAAGATTAAAGCTGTGTTTTTTTCCCTTCATATCATGTGAGTTTTGCAGTAGACTATCTAAAACTCCTAACTATTCCTTCTTTCCAGCATTTACTATTCAGTTTCTATATTTACACAGATGACCTCTAAGAAATCAGCAAACAGACATAGATGCCCTCTGTCTTTGCCTCATCCACCACCCCTTCAAGTTTCTGTTGTTTGGAGAATCATGAACCAATGTTTATACTAGAATGATTTCTAACACCCTCTCTTGCTACTACTGTATTTTAAAGGTAGCCTGAAAGTGTGGCCAAAAGGTTTGCCAACAGAACTGGGTTTAGCTGAGAAAATATGTACACTGCTTTGACTCAGTAAACTTATGCTGCAAATGATTCAGCTTCTTCATATTTGCTTTATCCCATATTAGAAAACAATTAGCTTACTAAACAAATTTGAGCATTTGGGGGAGGGGGTGGTGGAAAGATCTACTCTGAGTTTCTGTAATTTGATTTAGAATTACAGAATATTTGATAAGCTTGTTTAAAAATGGGCATGTCCAAATATTATCGTAAACATCCAATGATTTGTTTTACCTGCAATATAAGTATTTTACTTAGTTGGCTTACATAGTAGCTAATAATATTTGTTAATGTAATTTAACTGCTGTGAACCTTTACTGAACAAATATTGAAATTTATACAAGTCAAAGAATGAAGATCTCTAATGACTTTTGTAAAGACTTCCTTTTAATAGTTAAAGAGAAAAGTTTATACAACACAGCCTATGTGATTAACAGCAGATTTTACATTTAATAAAACAAAGAAATATATGTATTAGCTTTATTCATTCTTGTATAATTTGCATTACTGTTATGGGTATTTAATGAGCAAATTCCAACTAAAATGCTATGTTGATTTTCTAAGTGAACTTTGAAATAGCTATGTACCTTAACTGTTTACAGTTATTATCTATCTTAAAAGTACAAGTGTGTTAGGCTTGATGGTTCTAGTACAATTATCTTTCAGGAAGCAAGCCATTTTGTAATCCAGATGTTTGGCTTGGTATGATACTCAAATGTTGACGGCCTGCTATTGCAACAAGATAAGCTAAATTTACTTTACTAATAAAAAATATGGGGTTTTTCCAGTCATCTTAAAATACGATACACAATTGATTTGTTGGGTCTACTTTTATGCCAACTTTCATTGAAAATAATAGACTTCTGCTTTGGCAATGTGACTGATACCTTATTCCTGCAACATGACATAGAATATGCACATTTATTTCAAGAAGCTTCATATTTCAACTAAAATGTCATTTTAAAAAATACTTAAACGAACTTGTCTTGGCTGAAATAGTTTGCCAAGATAAACCTAGGTGTTCCAGGAAATAGCAAAGGTGACTTTGATGCAATAGATCTGAAAATCTTTGCCCATTGTTCCGCTAAAGTCAAATGGATTACCCAGATTTTTTTTTAGCTTTTATCAGCGTGATTATTCTTCTCCCACTCTCCGCACAGCAGTTTATTCACTGGTCCAATTTAAAATAGAATAATATCCACTAACTTACATAACTAACATTTTCTTAAAAACAGTTTGAGATGGACAGTTTGGTGCAGCACTTAAGGTACTGCATGAGAAACCAGTAATTTTTAATTCTTGTGATTGTCACTCTTTCTGCCCAAAACATTTTGTGGAGTATGTTTTGAGGAAAACATGTATGTTTTCCTCAAACTCACTCTGAGTTGTACAAGAGAAAATCAGGATATAAATCTCATAAAAGGCTAATTATTTTAAAGCCTTTTAAATACCTTTTGCAGAGGCACCTTCAGCTAACGTTACTTGTTCAAAACACAGCTTTTGTGTATAATAATATAGTTTTCTCCAAAACTGTAACAAATTTCTCAGCAGTGTTTTTATCTATAACCTGCTTGATTGGGTTTTTTTTCTTTTTAATTGTATTTATTGTGCTTTCATTCCTCCTCATGCTCTAGAGCCATGATGGTGAACCTATGGCACGTGTGCCACAGGTGGCACATGGAGCCGTATCTCCTTGCGTTGCCCTAGCTCAGTTACCTTCAAGTAGATGAGCCTTTGCTCTGATCCAGCATGGTTCTTTTTACATGGCAGCTTTAGATCTAGCTTGGCATCTAGTAGAATACAGCATTTCCTTAAAACAGTGTTTTTCAATCTTGACAACTAGCAAGGCTGGGCTGGGGAATTCTGGGAATTGAAATTCACACATCTTGAAGCTGCCGAAGTTGATAAACAATGCCTTAAAGGAAAAGCAATTCATTGGATGCTTACATCTCTTAAGCATGCTTAAATAACATATCTGTATTAGGTTTAACAATTCATTTAATTTATAAAATTTTAATTGGGTCCTGACTAATATGGGTGTCTATCTGGAAACGATTATGTTGGAAGACATTATAATTAGTTCCCATGGATAAATAAATATCCATTAATTTAGAAAAACAGCTATAAAATAGATAAATTTCCTTTGTGCGTCATACTTATACAACACATCTATTTACTATATTGCAGCTCTGGTAGAAGAAATCCATTCCACACAACACGACCATGATGAAGCCATCATGGCTAGACTGAAGTTGGCCAGTGAGGAGAGAAATGATGTATGTAAACAAGTAAGGCTACTGGAACAACCTCTCGAAACGTATGTACACATCTTTATTCTGGCTGCTTAATGTCCACTGTCTTGTGGGAAAGCTCGGGTGTATCTATCACACTTTCTTCATATGGCCATTTGCATATATGTATGCTGTACATACCTAACTCCATGCATACAGGCACACGTTTATTTTCTAGCTCTTAGTTTGCTATACGTGGGAGAAAGTAGGAAGTACTTGGTGGATTTTTTCAAGCAATTATATAACATATTTCTAAGCTCCAGTTTGTGAACGTAATTTGTGAGGAATCTCTGTGGGCACATTCTCTTAAATTCTTGGTTCTCCTCCTTGGAATGATTAGAAAGAGCTACATTTCTACATGTCTTAAGCAGGACACTGGTTTTATTCGCTACAGTTTAGATTAATTCATGTGTGATCTCAATCTTGATCCTGACACAGGTGATGATTGACTGTGGTATGTAAGAGAGGGAAACCAGTATTGATTTATGCATGGATAATTAAAGGAAATGTAACATTTCATCCAGGGGTTCAAGAGTTTGACTACAAAGTTGTGAATTAGAAGTCTTACTTTGTAGGAAGACAATTAGATCTTTTGAGGCTGCTTTTCCATCAGAAATAAAGTGAAACAAAATAAAGTATTTTGTTAATTTGAAATAGAATATATTTTGTTCTGTTAAATTCATTTCACCTGGAAACCGTTTTTTAAAGATGTTGCAAAATGATCCATTAAGTTGTTAATATGCATTTTTCTTTTTTTTTGTTTTGTTTTAGTTTATGCTATTTTTCAAAATACAGACATTTTGCAGTTTTCTTTAATGTGTACTTTTTATTATTATCTTATTTTCACAATAGTTGCAAATATATTTCTGTAGTCTCATTTTTTTTGCATGTGGGCATGACAAAGTTTGAAAAAATCTGTAATTTTAAAGTGCACTGAGTTTTCATTTGAAGTGCAAAATTAGATAAGCTTGCATAAAAGCACGAATGGAATGACTACACCATCCCTTGCTGCAATATTAATAGGTAATTGAGGAATGCTATGCAGTATTTCTACCGCATGCAGATTCCAGCTTTGTCGATGCCTCCTAATCCCTGATTTGCATGATATCATAACTTGATTGCTCGCTTTACTGATTGGTATAATTCTATTTTATAGAAAGGTTAAAATGTATTTACAAGCTTTTCATTCAACCTTTTATAATGTTATATCTCTTTATTTATTACCATTGTTTTGGAAATGAGGTAGAACAAATGTTTTGAGCTAATAACATGCAGTTCTGCAGAAAGGTTTTGACCGAGCTAGTAACAACTGAAAAATGTGTCAGCTGAAAAAAATGAGGCCCAAGTCTTTGTTCTTATCACATTGTTTCAGTCTAATTGTTTGGGGTTTTAGAGAAGGTTTAATTTCCTAAATTACTCTTAAGAAGTAAAAATCAATAGACTCTGTTCCACAGACTTGTGATGGCAATTCCATGCAAATGTTCTTGCAGATTAATTTCATTAAAAATAGTGAGCCTTGGACATAGGTGTTAGGATTGAAGAGCTAGAGATTTTTATTTTGCTTTGGATTTCTTTTTTTTTTTTGTCATGAGGGATGTGATAAAATTAAAATATATAATTTCTGCTGGAGGTTTATTTATGTTTTTCAGTGGGTGCAGAATTAAATAAATAAAAGGTGCCTCGGTGCCCCTGCCGCTGGGGAACTTTCTTCATCTAAGCACATATGAACAATTGATCCTTGTAGTCATATATAGCAGTAAACATTAATAACTTAACATTCTGAAGTCAGTGCTGAAGATATGGAGCATTATTGAAAGATGGAATCGAGCAGGTGGCACTTTAATATGTTCAGTGTCATGGTTGACTCTAAAGACCAGTAGAATGAAATTACTTGAGGGTTCTAAAGATTTAAAAAGCGAATTCATTTTGCTGCACTAAGGAAATGCTACTGATCAGGCTTTCTGTGTCCTTTTTTCTAGGCTAGAAAATATTAACCCTGAAGAAAATGACATGGTAAGCCATTCTCTGAGGAGATTTCTTGATGTCAGTCTTATATCTTAGAGGCTTAAGTTCAATTGAGTGGGTTTCAGAAACTAAGATGTGGGGAAAAGAAGAATTGACACACTAATAATGTACATCTTTGCTGCAGTATGAAAATTCAATAACTTCACTCAGTCAATTTACAATTCACATGTGCCTATTAATTAAAACCCTATATTAAATAAAGTATATTAAAACTTCTTGTCTGACTAACATAGAATGCTGTTGGTAGACATTACAGGAATTACTGAACAGAATAAACAATGCAGACACCGGTATGGCGATAAGGAGGACAGGAGCTATAATTGTCGATCGCATATACAGGACCCAGAAACAGAAAAAGAAAATAACAGCTGAAGAAATTAATGCATTGATAGAAGAGCGAGATGCTGTACTGGCTCAAGTAAGTCTATGTTAGTTTATACCACCTCATCATCATTGCTAAAAATATGAAGGGTTTGCAGTTTAGTTTTTAGAAAATTTCTTGATTACCCTACAAAAAGTATCACAGTGAAATAAGTTGTACACACACAGAGACATAAACACATTCAATGCTGAATTTTTCAAAGTCATTTTTTGAATTCTTTTTAAATTATATAAGAAGTGGAAAGTTCAGGAATTTTAAATTCTGAAGACTGAATCTAAATTCCAAATATCATTGGAAACCAAAAGTGGAAACATGTAGAAAGGGGGGGGAACATACATTTAACAGAAACAGGAATAAAAGGAACAGGAAACTACATATTTATTTTTAAAATGTGTATGTAAATACAAATAGTGAATAAGAATGATTAAAGCTGTTGAAAAGCAACTCTGAAATGGAATATTTATGTTGACCCTTCTTTCCAGAAGGTTACTTCTTCGGGAAAGTAAGTGAGCTGCAAAGTGTAGCCTCTATAGAAATTTGCTATTTCTATAGAATATTTTTTTTCCAAAATTTTGTCTATTATTTTTTTAAAATATAGAACACAAAAAGTAAAAGAGAAGACAACAGAAGAAGGAAGGTTTATAATTGATCTATTCCACTTTTGATCTATTTAATATATCTTTTGCAATACACTTTCCAACATTCCTATAGAAAGTTACTCTGAATTATAATTTGAAATGGTGCATATCTTCATCAGAAAGTCGGGTCCAAGCTTGTCTTTATAAAAGGCCTTTCTTTGAGCATTTTCTTGGCTCTGAGCTCTTGGCACCTTGAGATATGTACGTCTGTCACTGTAGTATATTGGAGTTTCAAGGAGATAGTGCAGGTCATAAATGCCACTTTTATCTTAAGTATACTGCACTCCAAATATTTGATTCCAAGCAGTACTGCTCTGCTTGATATATTTAAGAGTTAAATGTATTTTATGGACTTCCCAGTTGTATAGTGCCAGGCAATTAACAATTTTATTACATCGAACTTTCAAATTTTAGCTTTTAGTTTGTTTCAATAGAAGAGAGTATATGTAGCTCAGGGTTGACCTGTAGTGTCCTTGGTGCTCTCTGAAGTTGGTTATTTGCTTGAAGATATTTCATTACCCAACTAGCTAACATCATCTTGCACATGAATGTGGGGTTTGCTCCCTGTTTATATACAGTAGCTTGCCCTGCCAGTGTTGGTAGGAAAATTTCCTCCTTGATAATTATTTGATTAAGGTATTATCAGCCGTGGTGATACAGAGGTTAGAATGCAGTACTGCAGGCTACTTCTGCTGATTGCCCATTGCCAGCAGTTCAGCAGTTTGGTTCTCACTGGTTTAAGGTTAACTCAGCCTTTCATTCTTCCGAAGTAGGTAAAATGAGGATCCAGATTGTTGTTGTGGGCAATATGCTGACTCTGTAACCACTTAGAGAGGGTTGTAAAGCACTGTGAAGCGGTATATAAGTCTAAGTGCTATTGCTATGCTATTATACTCTTTTTGTCTGTTGGTGTTAATTTCTAATTTGCAATCATTTCCTCTAATGATAAAAATATCCAAGGAAAGTAGTATGTGGTTTTCCCTTGTGAATATTATTCCTTTGAAAATGTTAGTCTTTCATGTGTCTTCTCTACTTGTTCCTTTTTTTATTATGATGAAGATGTCGCTTGCATATTGGATCAATCAGTCAGAAGACATAATGAAAGCTCTCTAAAATTTTAAATCCTATGGACAGGTTTTTTAACTGGAAAACCATGGATATCGTAAATCAAATTAAATCCAAAAAAGCTAGGAAATTCATGGAAATTTAGCATTTCCAAATTCCAAAATCAGCCATCTATCATCACATAGAGATAAGCCACATCTACACAACGTTAAAAAGATAATAAAAAAACTGAAAGGAAAACAAAAAGAACAGAATACATTCTCTCCAGCAATCAACACCCAGATAAACAGGAATTAAAACCAGATCAGCAATCAAGCAGAAAATTATACCTCAATCAAAGAATTACCGAGGGGAAAACCACACTTCCACCAATACTAGCAGAGCAAACGACTGTATTTGAACAGAGAACAAACTCCACATAGCATTGATGATGTTACCTAGTCAGATAATAAAATGTCCGCACGCAAGCAACCAAGATCACAGCTCACCAAAAATTCGACAGTAGTAGTTATTTCCCTGGTATTTATCCCCTTCACTTAAGTGCATTTTTAAACTACCCTTAGTTTCTGTTTAGTCCTTATTTTTCTCTGAAGAGAATTTGACATACAGCACAGTATAATATTTATGTTCTCTACTGTTCTTTGTCTCAGACTTGATTTGCCAAATAAACGACGGAAGGATTTTTATCTTGATGAAGAAAGGAATTAAGTTGTCCATGATCTTTTATTGTGTTACTGATGTTGAGACAAATTAGTATGAACTAGCTGGGCAATTTGTGGATTATTGTTTTTAATAGCAAAAAAAGATTCCTCCACGGACCCTCACCCCCACTCCCCATCCCCGTCTTTTAACCCAAACATCAAACTGGCAAGTAATATTTATTTCACAATTGATAGAAAATTAGATTGCTACCAGAATATAAAAGGCTAAATGCAGAGATTGGCAACTGGTATCTTCCAGAATATTTTTGGATGAGAACTTCCATAAATCCTGGACAGCATTCCTGATCTTCAGAAATGTGGGGATTTGTAATCTCCAATATGTGGACAATACCAGTTTGAGTATCCCTGGCTGGACTTAGGTCCCCATCTAGAATAGGTCCCCAGACTTATTCTAGATGTATCACAGATAATATCTTAATATCCAGATGTTACTGCTCATCTGAAATAAGTTGTCACTGAAGAGACGAGCAGTACTTGAACCTTATTTATTTTATTTATTTATTTATGTATTTATTTATCAACAAGTACAAGGAAACAAGTAACAATATAGACATAGACATGGACACATGAAAAAGATTGGCACAAATAAAAGAATATAAATAGGCAAAACATAGCCATAAACACATAGAATGATTACATATAAATGGGGACAGTAGGACATGGCTGGTAGGCACACTGGTTCACTTATGCACGCTCCCTTAGGGACCTCTTAAGAAACATGAAAGGTCCACGGTAGATAGTTTAAGGTAAAAGGTATGGGGATTAGCGAGACTAACAACAGGATCAGGTAGATTGTTCCAGACATTTACTACTCTATTGCAGAAGTCATATTTCCTACAATCAAGATATAGCCCTTGTGTTATTATGGTTGAAATTAAAGTACCCATTTACAGGTAGGATGTTTTGGTAAATAATCTTATGAACTAAGCATAGGTCGGAACGTAGACAGCGTCGTTCGAGGCTATCCAGACCTAAAATTTCAAGCCTAGTGGTATAGGGAAATTTATTTCAAGCAGAAGATTTGAGTACTCTTCTAGTAAAATATCTCTCTATAATGTATTGATGTCTGAAATGTTATATGCTAACATTTATGCAAGTAGGCTATTCAACATTGCTTCTGAATAGGTATCTGTTAATATTGACAACAGCTATAGCCCCAATGGTTCTTGAAGATCATTGATCAGTAAATTGAGGGTTGGGGGGATATTTAAGAAAGATTATGTTGTGGTGATTAACATTGGGCCTTTGCCTTCCGTTCTAGCCATTTGGTATCAGACAAAAGATATAGGCACAATCATATGCTTTCATTATAGTTTGAGTTCAGCTGGCAAAATTTATTATTCTTTAGTAGCTACTGTAGTTGTTTGTAAGTATGCAGTTATGCCCTGGGTGATATCTGAACTAGTCTTATGGGTATTGGCATTCCTGTCTTATATGATGCCAATTAAGTTGTAATTAGCTGATAATGAAGGTGCAATATGCCCTTAGGAGTCTTAAATTAAAAGTGAAATTGAATGTTTTGAGTGTGACCAGGTACTTATTAAAAATGTATGTGTGCTATAGTCATCATAACAGGGTATAGTTTCTTCACAGGATTTAATGATACATGTATATATAATCAGTAATAGTCTACTAGATTACTGTACAAACATACAAATTACTTTTACTATGTGCAAAAACAAATAAAATGGCATAAATTCAAATATTTGATATCACGTTCATATATATTTTCAAGCGACTATAAGCAAACAACAAAACTAAACATTGACAGCACTCTTGGTTATTCACTTTGTTTTCTTTTAGAAGAGAAAAAATGTTGACATTCAGTTGCCAAGTTGTATTTATTAGTGAAGAAGTAGTGTGTGATCCTGTGGAATTTCTATCATGGCTTTGCTCTTTGCAAAGGAAATGAGAGGACTGAGATAACATGCTTAAATGAAGAAATTATTTATATATCGTTGACATGTATTATATACACTAGTCCTTCTTCCCAAACATCTGTAATTCTGCTAATCGTAACAGGTATTGCTTAGATATCCCAAATCGGTAAATTGCTAGATAGTTAAGAGGACTGTAGAAAATAGACTGTATTGTTCTGGAGGAAGGCATGGTAGACCCGTGAACAGTTCAGTCCTGCAATATTATAGATCCTGCTTCTTTTTTTCTATTTCAGAGTGATCAAAACAATTGGATTGTTTAGGGGGAGAGAAAAATATTTCTAATTAGCTCTTCCTCTCAATGACTTTGGTTTGAATAAATGCATTTGCCAGTAGTGGGCAGTGTGATGAAATAACTCAAAACAGCTGCTGGCCTTTTGCCATTTACACCTTCTGAACAGGAATGTTTAACATGAGTGACTTGGCAGCCGAGCTGAAACCTGGTAACAGAGGAAGGGCTACTGCTAGTTTTCTCTTACTTGTTTGGGGGCAGGGAAATGGTTATTTTTCCTTTGCAAACAGGGAGTTCAACATTCTCAGCTGGGTGTTATTTTTTTTTTCTCTATACTCAGGACCTGTGATTGTGTTACAATCTAGCCAAAAGGCCAAAGATATTGAATTTGTTTTGTTGTGGTGGTTGTTAAAAGAAAAACAGTTTTTTCATAGCTGGTGTG